GGGGGGGGACCAAAGAGAGTGCAAGCTCAAGATGCAGTAGGAGACAAAGCCGTGGGCCAGGGGAGAGAGGGTGGTGGCAAAGGCCCTGTGGTGAATGAGGTCATGGACAGTTTTATACACTGACAGTGGACTCCCAATTTTTGAAAGTGGTTTCCTTTCAAAAGGTGGGAAAATCAGGCCTTCTGCAACACATTGTAATGTACTCCACAAAAGAAAATATAGCCTTTCCTAAACTGGCCTGTTTGGCTGGCAGCTACGCAGTGGAGAGAGCTAAGTCAGTGTTATGGGTTCGATCATTCGTTTGGGATGAAAAATTAGCCACAGCATGATTTTCTTTAGGTTTTATCTCTCCCACCCCTGTCCAGAAGGGGTGTACTGTCTGTGGCACCCATGCTGAGTCAGACTGAGGGCGAACAGAGGCCTTCAGGATGCTCTGTGCTGCTGGGAGCTGCCAGTGGGCACCACCTTGCAAACCTGATCACACGGGAAGTACCATGGACCTGGCCACCAGGACACTGGTGTGCTCTCGGAGGTCACCCCCTCTGCCTCTCCTTTTTCTGGCTCCCCGTCACTCCCAACCCCCCAACACCCAGTGCAGTTTTTGATTCTTGGCTCTTTTTTCTCTGCTGCAGCGCACTCCCGGCAGAGTTGGACTCTGTTCATCTCTTTCCCCTCCTCCCTCCTGCCTGGCTGCCTGCCCGCCCACCTACCTGCCTGCCTGCCTGCCTTTTGGCCCAGCTGCTAAGGGTCAGGGCTGCCCTGCTCCTCACCTTCCTGCTTTTCCGTGGTGACCTGTTTTCACAGACACGCCCTCTCCCTGCTGCCATCTGCTCTAGCTGTGGCAGTTCTCCAACCCTGTCCCCTGGAAGCCAGCTCCGCAGGTGAGTAGCAGCCGAGCCTAGAACGCAGGTCACAGACACGCTTCACAACCTTCTCTCACGGCCGATAGCTGGTCACAGTCAGCCAGGGCAATGAGCTCACCCGGGGCTGCCTGTTTCCAGAGCAGAGGCTGCTAGAGGATGCATGGTGGCAGCCTGTGTCAAGTGCCCAGCCCAGATTGGATGATTAGTAAATCTTTGCTAATCGTTGCTCTATCAAATATTGCAAATCATTATTCTAGAAAAACCTGAAGGACGAGCCTGATTGGAATACGTCTCAGGAAGTAGACTCTGGTTGCTCAGAATTTGGCCTGTAGGTAAGAGAGTTTAGGAGTCACATTTTGAGCTTTTGCTTAAGGGCTCTGAATTTAAACTTCCTAGGTCCTAGTTGTTTTTAGCCTAACAACTCTAAATGTTGAGCCATTCCTTTTAGAAGAGATAGCTGAATGGCATTATCTAGAATAAAAACACTCACTGCCGTCGAGTCAGTCTGACCCATAGCAACCCTATAGGACAAAGTAGAATTGTCCCTGTGGATTTCCAAGACTGTATTTCTGTACGGAAGTAGAAAGCCTCAGCTTTCTCCCAAGGAATGGCTGGTGGTTTTGAACTGCTGACTTTGGAGTTAGCAAGCCAATGAGTGACTACTATGTGCCACCAGGGCTCCTATTATGTAGAGCAAGGGCTGGCAAACTTTTGAGACATAAGAGCCAATCCTGTCCCTCAAAACAATTTAAAAATGAATCAAGAGGCATAAATATATTTTTGCAAACAAATGAAGTCACCATTGTCTGAATAATGCCTTTACAATTTTTATAAATGAAACGATAATGGATTTACTTCCATTTCAAGTTTTACTTCAGAGCCGTGTGTGTGTGTGTGTGTGTGTGTGTGTGTGTACTAAAAGAGCTGCCAGCATATGGCTCGAGTCAGTTTGCTGACCCTACTCTAGAGTAATAATGGTAACAGACCTTCACAGAGGTTCCCCGAGTGAGAGCTTTAATGGGAGAGGGCAGGCTGGTGGCTCCTACCATCTTTCTTACCCTCCTCACACACCTGCCTTGGTAGCATGGCTACCAACCAGTTCATTCCGGGTCGGATCCACCCTTGAGGATTTGCCCTCCCGCCCCAGATGGACGGAATTGCTTTGTATTTTAACATAAAAATCACTCTTGTTCATACATCAGAATCACCTGGAGACTTATGCTATTCACCTGATTTCTAGTCACCTTTAAACTATGAAAGCTTTGTTTCTGTCTTAAGTTATCACTTATCACTTCGTGTTGAGAAAGCACTGAAAATGTTGGGTTCCGATCACTTTCCATTTGCGCCCTGCTTCTCTGGGGCACGGGCGCAGGGAGGCTGAGACATCTTGTCCATGTCCAGGGCCAGTCAACAAGTTCTGCTTGCAGGGTTCATGCACACACAGGGTTATTGCCAACAAAACATGCTAAAACATGTCTGCAACCAGCGGTACCCAGAGACCAGTTCTCCCA